AGCCAAGGATCAGCCTTAGTCTTTGACTGTGTAAGAGCTTCTCGGCTTTGTTTCCCTGATGTGAAATTGCTCTGACATAGGAGGCTGAAAAATCCCCCTGTGGCACTGGCAGCATTGGGATTCTCGCGCATCTCTCTTGCAGCTACAGCCCTGTCTGTATGCAACCCTTACCTGGTTGCTTGGCTGCCTGAATCCTGTCACCTGAGAGATCTGGCTGTCATTTACCCAGCCCTTGAAGCAGCTGTAACTTCCTGCTCAGCTGCACTGGGTGCTGCTGTGCCGTGGCTGACAAGGTCCTAGGTGAGTTTAGTGTAACATATAGACTATAGGAAGCAGCCTTATTGGGCACCCCTTTTGAATTTGCATCTTTTCCCCTTCCAAAATTGATAGCTATTCCCCCCAGCCCATCCTTGCTGGTGTGCACGACCGCTTCCTACAGCAACCTAAATGTTTGGATTGCGAAGAATGAATGCATGGGGCTTGCTGTTTGTGCTGTATTGTTACTTCCTGATAGTTTTGAAAGTATCCAGAAGGATGCATGTAATACTGGTTTTGTTCACTTTTTTATCTGAAGCTATGCATTTTCTGTGCCAGCTAAGCAAACAGCAATTGCGTTTAGTAAGTGAGTGGATGTGAATATATTCACTTTCAAGCTGTCACATATCTGAAAGTGAATTGTAGATCCAACCTTCCCAAAGGCCTGGAACTCTAAGGAAACTTGTGCTTAAATGTGCATGAAAATTTGGAGGGTTAGTATTCCTTTCAGGGCCTGCAGAACTGGGCTTCCAGGTTGCATTCCTGGGAAAGGATGTCTCTGACATGTCTGTCCAGGCTACCTGCCTGGATTTCCCCTCCATCCCACAGGGAATATTTACCACCTCCAGGCTCCCTCCACGGCTGCCGTATGCAGAGCCCTGCCAGGGCAGAACCACAGGCTCTCCCATGGGAAAGTACGTGGAGTTTCCAGGAAGCTTCTCTGTTCACAGAGGTTTTCCCAGCACCTGGTTTGAAATTAAATTAATAAAGCTGGAATACAATTAATTGAATCAAGCCCATAGAGAGAACAGATTGTCTTTAAATGTAAAAAGGTATTGATTTGCCATTTTGCCGGTGTTAATTTAGCCCCTACACACACTTCCATAGGGATGCATTGGAGCATTGAGGCTAAATTCAACGTCGAGAAGTTGGCAGCGTCAGTAAACTCACCTCCCAGACAAGCACTGGGAGGCTGTGCGACCGCCAATGCAGCACGTGCTGAAACCCGCATGACACTTCTCAGCCCAAAATCTTCGTGGGACTCAGGGAGCATGTACCACAGCTGCAGACACTCTGTTTCTGAGGCTGCTGCCTCCTTTGGGTTAAAATAGAGCAGCCTGGGGGTGGCTTTCCTTAATGCCCCTGATGAGTGGTACAGCTACCAGAGCTGATGGAGTTTCATAGATTTGCTGACCCCCTTTTTGCCTCCAGTCAGCACCTCCAGGGCAGCCAGCCACTGACTGGCGCTGCAACAGCTTTTACAACCTTTCCCCATCTTGGGAATTTCTTCTGCACCCAGAAGAGCGACTGATTTTTTGGAGAGGGAGGATTTCATGAAGTCACTTATAGCCTGCTCCTCCCTGCCTCCAGGAACAGTGTTATTTTGTAATGGGACAATTCCACGTATTTCAATTATTCCTGCCATTGCCCCCAAACTGTTACTCCCGTGAGTGAGAATGAAGATGACGTTCCCTGCGCTAAAGGTACTGCTGAGCCTCCCTAGTCTTTATCTCAGCAACATCTCAAAAATCGTATACTAGTTCTGAGCTGGGTTATAAGAAGCAAAGAGGGGAATCCGGGCTGAATTTAGACCTGTAGATCCAAAACTGCAAACCTGAACCTCTCCCTGCCTCGTTTTCCCTCTCCCTGCCTCACCTGAGCAGGTGCTTTGGTTTTGCAGCTTTGCATTGCCTTGAGGTGCATCTCCACAGGGCCGGGCACTGCAACACCTGCCCAGGCTGGGCTCAGAAAGAGGCTGTTTTCTGCTAAAAGGCACAGAGACAGGTTGATCCAAGACGCGTGTCCGCACACAGGTAATGCGCACTGGCAGTTTCAGGCTGTCTGAAAAGTGCACTTATATTTTGACAGTTTATTTCAATGCCCAGTCTGAAGGGGGCCCCCTGGACACAGGAAAAACATCCAAATGAACCGATCACCTCCGCCAGCAGGGATCCAGATGCAGAAATACGACTGAGCGTTCACCGTGGGGATCCTAGGGGGGCTCTTGGGGAGAAGCACAACTGTGACTGGGTGCTCTGGGCTTTCATCTGGGATGGGGCAGCTCTCCCAAACGCATTCTGTTTTTATTATAGTGACTGTCATAGGCAAGAGCCGAAAGGAGGGCTGACCGCTTCCCAGCTGTGTTGTAGGGTAGATGAGAGATTTGGCCAGAGCCATCGGGAAGGACGATGACAGAGCCTGGGACTGAAAACTCCCTAAATCCTGATCCCCACGCTTCAGGTGGTGATGACTCTCTCTTGCGGGGAAATAATAAAGCTCTGCCTTGCTGCTAATGCACGCGTGGGCTGTGCGTGCTCCTCGTTGAACCACGGAGGGAGGCTGCGACACGGGAATGCAGGTACAGCGCAGCACTCTTAAATGCTATATTTCCACAGCTTCAGGGAGTCCCATTCATTTTGCGGCGTGTGTTCACTGAGGTATTTGGCTTTCTTAGCAGAACAAGTAGCGTAAGGCCTCTTTTGATCATACAGACTGATTTGGGTTAATTCAGTGAAAGAGAAGTAGTGGTTTTTTTTTATCATAGTCTCTTAGGAAGACTTTAATAAGTAACAAGTTATTAAATTCAGTATGTTTTAAGTCCTCATTTGGATTCTGGGTGAATCACTGCAAGTCCCTTTATTCCCCTTGACTGTTTTACAGCACTGGCACAGCTAAAATATTAAAAGTGGCATGCACAGTGGCTGAAAAAAATTAGACCAGGTTGTGTCTGAAGCTCTCCAGCATCCAGGAAACACGACAAATGTGATTACATGCAAATGTCACACTGTCAGTGGGCTGGCAAAGAAAATAGCGCTCTGTCTTAACCACTTTGAAAACCAGACAAGCTTTGCTTGCGATGATATGATGGGAAGAAAGTAGCTTTCATGAAAATACATTTTCTTCCTTAATTGCCATTTTTACAATTTAAAATGAGCAAATGTTTGATCAAAAGCAATGTTGGTGGATGCTTGGCATTGGGAGCGTTATTTTGTACCTGGGAAAGGTGCCTGGGAAGTGATTTACCTGTCAGGGGTACAGAAAGGCCCTGCTCTGCTAACCGCTAGGGCAGTGACAGCCCTCAAGTCGCTCCGGGGACCTGGCCTTCACCCTCGAGACATGGGGTCGTGAAGGGCTCTTCTTACCCGAGAGCCTCGTGCGCAGCGCGGTGGTGAAGCAAGGCTTGTGCGCGCGGCGGGAACGGTGGGATCCCTCTGTTCTGGCAGAGGGGGCTTGCCAAAGCCCTGACGCGGTCAGCCAGCTGCACGCAGGACCCTTCATGCTCATGGGCATCTCGGGTGACTTTCAGAAGAGAGGAACAGGAGGAAAAGCCGGGTTACTGCCTTTGCCGCTCCGCTCTGCCGCCTGCAGGAAATGAGAGGGAGAATAGAACTAGAGCTTTTTTTTTTTTTTTCTCATGATGACATTCTCCGGTAATAATCCTAGGTTTATAAAAATCCCCTCCCGCACACGCACACATTACATTCTTTAAAAAAATAGGCCAGGGAGAGAAACATTTTTAGTGTTGTTTAAACACTCCCGTCATTAACTTAAAAAAAAGTAAAATGTCTGCAAGTTGCTTTTAAAAAAACCCACCACTTTGGTGGGAAATATTTTAATATATGCTTTTTTAAGATTAGCTTGTGTTTTCCTTTTTTTGAAAATATGTAATTGGTTTTAATCTCCTGTTCGAAAGTGTTGGAAAAAAAAAAAGAGCATTTTGGACTGTTCTCCCATAGGCAATAATCAAAAGTAAGGAGCACATACAAGGTATTTACAGGCTCATTATATTTGGAAAGGAGCTGAGAAAAGCCAGAATAGGCGGCCTGGGAAGTGGTTGACTGGAAGGAGCTTGAGAAGAAGAAAAGTTCATATGGAAACGCAGTTGCACTGGCTTTGCAAGATGAGAGCCACAGAAAGAGAACTTTGATATTACTAAAAAAGAAAATTCCCTGTTACCATCTGTTGAAGTATCTGTTGCATTGCAAAATTTTACAGCGCTCTACTGGTGGTGTCTCTGCTGGTGTTAGGAACAACTCTCCAAAACGTTTGGCTTGTTTTTGCTGTGCTCAGCAGTTATTTTGTTTTCCAGCCTTGGTTTTGGTAGAATTTTGGTTTACTCTTAATTGTTTTCTGTTCTTTTCTGTGCATTGTTCTTATCTATCAACAGCTATAGAAATTGCCGAGACGTTCGTCTGTCTCTTTCGTTTGACAAGCACGCGCTTTCCCGAATATGAAAATGTTAAGCCCCTCTTATTAACTCACACATTTGGGAGAAATTCTGCAAATCAAAATCACCTCCTTCTGTCCATCAGGGGAATTCCTTAGCCGATCCAGCACCCGCAAGAGGTGTTATCTGGGGCAGAGGAGGAGAGTGAATGTGGAACAACTTCTCCAGCCTGCCTTCCAGCAGGCAAGGGGGCCCACGTGGCAGAGTCCTCCTGGGATCTGCTGGCTTTGCACCTAGCAGAGGACAACCACAGACTACTCTCTGGCTGAGCGTGGAGCTCTTTGCCCTTCTTTTTGTCAGGAAAGGGCTGGACACAGTCAGCCTCCTTCCCTCCCCACCAAGTGGCAGACAGCTAACTCAGGCTGCCTCTGTGAAACCTGGGAGTCACTATTTCCTGTGACTACACCGTGATTAACCTACTCTAGTGCCTCCTCCCCCCTCCCTTGCAGTCACCTTTTGCTGCGTTTCCACCGCTGTCCTTACCCCTTCCCCAAAGCAACGTTCAGCTCACCACACAGCAAGGAATGCTCTGTTTATTCCATGATTCGTAGCTGTGTGCAGAATTTTCACATTTAGTTCACAATATAAAATAAATAAGCTAAGAAGGTGAAACACACTGTTAGTCGTCGTCTTTTAGTTTTAACGGTATTGACTATTCACCATAAACTTGTGGGTTTGGTATGAAGCTCAATCCTTTACAAAGGGGGTTACCATGAAGACAGTTGGCCTTCTCTGGCAATAGTGCACTACTGTATTTACATTTGGACAAGTTCTCCTTAGCGTTCACAACTATTGTGACCGTTACAAGATTTCTTTATAAAGGGACTCATTCATCTGACTACTTAACACATGGAATACATTTACATTGCAGACTGATGGATTTTCCTGCCTCTCTTTATTGTAAGATACCCAGCAGTGTGTGGTGACAGGACAAGAAGGGATAAGTGAAATTATTTTAATATAATATCAGTGTATGAGAAACCACAGAAGAAAGAAAACATTTCCTGGAAAATTCTGCATATGTATATATTGCATTGTATAGTCTTACAGACAAATTTACATCCAGTACATAATATATTTTAAAACACTGATTTGAAGAGGACAACAAATTAATTTTTCTCCATCTGTACAGACATGGGAGTGTGATTTTTTTTCTTGCTGCTATAGTTTGCGGTTCTTCAGGAGGAGTACTCGTATTCCTCAGCGCTGCGGCGTCCAAAATCCATCCAGCCCATGTAGTCTCTGTCATTTATCCTGTGCGTAGGATCGATGCTCTGTACCCTGTTTCCCATAACTGAGATCCTTCCAGTAGGACCTAAAGAGGAGGAGATGGGGAGAGGAGAGAATAAGTGCACACATTTTTCAGGTTCATCTATTTTCTAATCTGTTTTATATTTGTTACAGATGTTGGCACGAAATAGCTGCAACTGCTTGACTTACACAGACCACGTAACACTGCTGTCATGTCATTGGGAAAAATGTCATAGAAATGTTATGAGAGAAGCCCTGAAAGTGATTTTTTTTTTAATGTGAAACAGAAAATGGACCAAGCAGATTTGTTTCTGGCATTTATCACTTCTGAACTTAGCACAGTGCAGTGAACACTCAGCACTTGTCTGTTACTTCAGGGAGTGCCCTGGGATTGTAAAGAAAGTAGTGGCAGGAGCTGTGCTGCTGGTCTCTGTACAGCTCCCTTGGGGGGGGAAATCACTGTCTCCCTGTCTGCTCCAGGCTGCTGGAAGGAATGTGGGTGCGTTTCTCCTTGTTTCCTTTCCTCTGCCACCTCACTAGAAAGAGGAAGAAAGTCCAGATCGTTTCCCATTCTTGCTACAGGAGTGCACTCTTGTTTGCTGGTAGAGGGAGGAATATTCCAGAGTCAAAATAACTCTGCTTGAGAGCAGACTCAGGCCTGAGCCAGGACTCCTGCCCATAGCCCTGTTTTGCCTGAGGAACAGTGAATACAAGCACAGGAGCTCCTATAAGGCAACTTCAGGACAAGTGCAGTAATTATGAATCCCAGATTTTTCAGAAGTGGGAACAGTCTTGAAAATGAGAACATTGTGGCTGGAATTTACAGCTAGAGATGCTGTTGCTGACAGATATCCCCATACATGGCTTACCATAACAGTAACATTTCTATTACTTATCTACAGCTTGTGTAACTCCTCTCATATTGATGTTGGATGCTGATCTTTAATCTTGCCTTAGTCTTTCTGTTATCCTTGTTTAGGGCACCAAGGAGATGAAAGACCCAAATTATTTGCAAGGGGGATTTATGCTTCAAAAAAGAATCATGCTCCAGCTTGATATCACCACATTATGTAATTAAAAATGGAGGAGAAAGGCAAGTTATTTTTCTCTGTGCTCCTTGAAAATTGCCAAAGTTAAGCTCATCTTAATTGTTGCTGTATGTTAAGCCTTGAGTGAGGAAGATGAAGAGATTCAATAGACTAATATTTAATTCAGACCAAGGCTTGAGGGGGACTTAAATGGAAAAAAAGGAAAAAAAAGCCCAGGCCAGAGCCCACAAATCCAAATCCATACAATTGTTCTGCTTACTGTTTCTTGTGTTTTGAATGAATCTTTGCTCAGTCTGTGCTTTCATATTTCAAGATTTTTATCATAAAATGATCTCTCTAATGAAGATAATTCATAAAAAATCCAAACCCACATTGCTTTCTTAGTGGCTGCAAAGGGATAGGAGAGTAAAAAGCATGTGGCATAAAACTGAAACAGCAGTGTTTTAGATATTTCAAAAAAAAAGGGGGCAAAAAATTCTCTCTACAAAAGAACATTCGTCTACCATTAACCTTCAAAACCCAGGAAATTCACATACATAATTCAAAATATGTAATTAAAGTTGATGAGAATGGCTTCTTGGCACTGTCATCAGGCAGTGCTAGGACGGAGCAAAACCATCACTCAGATGTTGATATTTAAGAGACTTCTGAGCCTGCAGTGGCCTGTGGGCTGCAATGGCTCCCCTGGTGCCATTATGGTCTGGCTTGGCAAGGGTTCCTTAGAGGATAATAAATGTGTGCGTTGCTGACTTGACAGCTACTATGTCTCACCTACACAGTGCCAGATTCATGCTGTAAAGCCTGCAGATGAAGTTATTGAAAGCTAAGGGTCATACACAATGAAATGAATTTCTTAACAGCACCTTAATTACCTTTCCTCAAATAACTGAGGATGGCCTGCAGACACTGCAGAATCAACATACGACAAACAGCCTCAAAATTGTAGCAGTTTGGCAAAGATGCTGCTGTATAGCCCTATTGTCCTGAGAGATTTTTAATTCTGTCACTGCTATCACTGGAAGTATCAGCTAAAACGAGCTTTTCCATTAACTGCAAAGGCAAATGCCATCACTGATCATTGCGAGCACTAGCCAACGCTCTCTTTTCCCCTCAACAGAATTTTCTAGTGTATTATGATCTGGCCAGGGAGTCAAAAGTGACTAATACAGCAGACAGGTTTTGTAGAGATTTCTAAAGTGTTGCCCAGAGGCTTTATGTTAAATGGGAACATAACATAATGTTATGATTGTAACACAGTTGACAGGACACTATATGCTGTGTTATAAGTTAACTATATATTGCTTTGTCCCTGCAAATCTTGTCTCTTCTCTACTAGCCAATTTATTTGCAATTCAGAGTCCAATGAGCTTAGCAACGTCACAAGAATCCCACCATCTGCTAACAGTTGCTTTGTAGGGTTAATTAGATATATATAATCTACAAACACAAATGCAGGAAGTTCTCCCTTGTATAATACTTAGGGAAATATAGCTTAAATCCAAAGCGTTTTTCTCACTTCATCCATTTAAGCTAGAAATTTAAGAGGTCACATAAACTAGAATAATGAATTCAATTTTCATGTAGCTGGGTGACAATAACCACGCTGGAGAAAGGTGATGAAGACTGTTTTGCAGACTCCTGTAATTAAGAATCTTATCCAGTAGCACCTTTAATTATAGCATCAAATTGTGGAACTTTGTATCTGAATTGCCTTTCCATTAGGAGAGGGGAACTGCTAAAAGTGAGTTCCTTAACAGACATGGTGAGAATTGCTAACATAAGATGATGTCTCTCAGAATAAAAACAACTTTTTCAGTTGTTTCTAATTTGATCATACTCCATGTATGCAAATGAGTGTGTATGCCGGCATACATAAGTATAAAATGCACATGATCTCTTAATTGCAGACCTCCTTCAAAAATAAGGAAAGGATTCTGCCTAGTGCAGGGATCAGCAGTGAGGCTACCAGGAGGGGAAGATGAAGTAAACTGCACAAGGTAATGTGGAGAGACAGGAGAGGAGAAAGCCATTACTTACGTAAAGTGAACTTCATCCTAAACAGAGCCTGGGTCTGTGAGTTAAGCAATTGTGTCCATATGGACACAATGTCCATATGTCCAGGTCATCATAATTACTGTCTCTCTCTTCAGCCCTCTATGCTTCTAATATGTCCTTTTTCCCCTGCAATACCAGAGATAGACCAGCCAGAAGCTATAGCAAGTAAACAAGATTTGTGCAACTCCACAAGTTGCGTGGTGGCTTTTGCTGAGGCTGGCAGCCATCTCTCTCCCATGGAGTCGACAGCAATTAGGTTGCCCGCAGTGCTACTCTATTCAGACAGAAAGCAATACACAGATGAGATACTTCAAAAGGAAAAGTGTCTTTTAGGAGAGTTTCAACGGGGAACTATATGAAACCATTTTGATCCATCACATCTACTGATAGCACAGACAGCATATGTGTGTGTGCATGTAAAATATATACTTTTATTATACAGCTTTATTCTTTCCCTAGCTAGCTCATGTATGTAATACAGTTTCTTCCTTAAATGACTATATCACATAAGAAAAAATCAAGCCCTCAAATTCCATTACTCTTGTCAGTGCTTCACACCCTGTTACAAATGCAGTGCCATGGAGGTTTTAAGTAACTGCAAGATTCTGTTGTACTCCAAGGCTGCCTGGGACTCAAAACCAAATAGGAATTGACACATTTTGAAGCAAACACTTTTATTTACCACTGCTTTAGCACTGTGTTCATAAATGCAAGTTCCGATCTTTCAAAAGCTCGCATGCTTTTGTAACTTCTCCCTGAGAACAACTACATGGAAAGTCCAATACTCAGAAGATTTCCCTGTTGTGGATGTTCCTGGCTGAGGAAAGATTAGCCATTTGGTCTGTATTTAGCCACAGAAAAGCTTTCCTGCTCTCCTAACTTCAAAGAGGAATGGAGGTTTTTCAAATGAAAAAGTTCAAGAAAATGCAATTACTAGATTTTGGGTGAAATAAAACATGCTGCAAAACATACCAAAATAATTACAAGGCTATGAAAATAAGTGAAAATAAATAAATAAATGCTCAGCTAGAACCTGACAGGGAGGTTTAAATTTTCCTGTTACCTGTACCCAGCTCTCAGCCAGTGGATGCTATGTGAAAAATCTTTTTGGCAGAGTTTTGCAACAACAGAAAAGGAGAATGCTCTCTACTTCAGGAATAACTAGGCAAAAATCTACCTCCTATCTTCTGTGGTAATCCATGCTGGACTATGACAGGGTTCCCTTAACATCTAGGTTTTTCTGAAGGAAACTCCACTAACGCAGAAGCAGCATAGGAAGTAGGCTATTACCTTTTCTGGCTTGCTGGAGATACTTGGCCAACAAAGCACCAATGTTAGCTCTTTGGTCGATGCTTCCATCCAGCCGCGGGACAGGTTTCAGCGGGCCGGCGGATGAAGGGGCGCGGACGTGCCGGTGATGCTCTGTCAAACTCTGCTCAAGCTCGGCAGCCAGTGGATTCCCATTGTGTGAGCCCGCAGTCTGCTGCCCGAAAGAGCTTGCTGAGAGCACAGCAAGGAACACGCAGATGCATATACCACTGTACATTGCTGGAGAGAATAGGAATCAGGGGTTAAAATGATCAGATATTTTATGTTATCCCCACCTTCATTTTTGGAGGCAACGGCTTCTGAGCAAGCTTTTTTTTTTTTTAAACAGGGATAACTGTGGGATCAGCATTAAGCTGGAAAACATGTACATTAATAGTTAAATATCCCTGGGTAAGAGGCAGAAGCATCTGTGGGCTGTTAAGTAACACAGGAAGGGATAAAACCAATTCACTGTGCTTTGTGCAGCATCTCCTTGATTCACTCCATTCCTCCTCGCTTTTCTGGAAGCTGCATTTCACTAAAACATAAGAAACACATCCAGCTCCGAGGAAAATCCCAGGATTAAAAAACACCACTATTCCGCTGTTGTGCTAAAACCCACTGTTACTGCAAATACTTGATTTTGAAAAGTTTTACGGAGCCATTACTTCGAGCAACCTTTCTTTGGTTTGAACTGCAGCGCTCAAGAGGCTTTATCTTGTCACACAGTGAGGAGGAAAGCAGCCACAGAAGGAAAATAAAACCAAAATCTATAACCTCCCCCCCAGCACTGGATCTAACCGTTGAGGTGGTAAAAGCTGGTCGGGAGTAAGAAATAACGTGCAGCGTGGCAATACTCTTCTTGATGTAAAGCAGAGAGCTCAAGTGTAATGATTTTTGTTTGCTGCTTCCTTAAGGAAACGAATATTAGAAAAAACGATGTCCTTTCGCTAGATTATTTGATTATATAAACGGACACAGGCTTTTCTTCCGGACACATAAAAATTACTCTCCGTAAAAACAGGCGAAACAACGTAGCTAAAGCTTAACGCTTTAAGGCTACTTCCCACTTACACAAGTTACCTGCACGGGAGCTGGTGACTCAGTTTAAGTTCCTGAACAGCGCACCGAACAACCGCCTTACAATTTCATAAGAAGGGCAAAAAAAAAAAAAACA